TTTGTTACTGGAAACCATATTCAAACATCTATCAAAGCAACTTTTACAAACAATTGTATTTTTTAAGTATGTTTTTAATACATAGTTCATCATATTTGAATATGCTTAGAAGCTATAACAATAGAATAGGAATAGAATATTCTGATATCGATGTATGAAGAGCATATTACAAAGCACACACCCGTTCATAATTTATTTAATAAATTATTTAGTAATATCAATATATATTTATATAACTATACAAACACTAATAAATAAAGATTAATAATGGCACAAATAAATAATGATTAATAGTGAATTATATATATATATATATATATATATATATATATATATATATGTGTGTGTTTTTCAGCTGATGAGTCCAAAATCCGATGTGAGATTCATCCGTGCTGCAGTGAATCCGTCTCTCTTTATATATATATATCTCCCTCTTCTTCCTCATATCGTGTCTTTATGAAACTTTCAAAACAAAAACGGAAGATTTAGGATGTATCTTACTTTTGACAGAGTGAAAGAATATAAATAATAGTCTTTACCACCTGTGTAAACTTTGTTGGTGAATGTTACAATGCATAATATAAGTTTTATAATATGTGTTATATTGTTTCATTTCTAATATAGGCCCTTGTGTCAGATAATCTAAGTCAATGTTAGAGAATAATTAATTTTTTTAGATTTACGGAATCTCAGTTAACCTTCATGGCGGGGCTGAACCCGTATTACACCAAGCACTGTAGCTAATAGCTGGTATCTCGCCGGTGGACATAAATACAGTAAAGTAATATTCTAATCACACTATATACACAATGATATGTCCATCTTACTTGTGAAATGTTGTCTGTGGAGCCCTCACCTCAGTAATCCATAGATCCGAACAACAATATCCCTCAGTGCTGAGGCATCTTCTGCTGTTTTGGTTGAGCAAAGTAGGAGGGACGATCACTCCAAGATGGCCACCGTATTTCTTGTGCCGGAGCAGCCAATGCGGGGTCTACTCTTATATTACTCTTATATTACTATTTCTATGGCCGGAGCAGCCGATGATAGTATGTCTATGGTATATGCCACGAGAGGTGGTGACGTATTTCCGTTTAAATTTATGCCACATAGTTTGGTTCCAGGTCCTGTTTGCTCCTATTGTTTTTAGCCAAAGCTGAATATGTACCATGAAAAAGACGCAAAGGTTAAGATATCTGCGAGCTACTGGTACAACAATTGAGTTTTGTGGTGTGCCGTTGTGTCCAGTAATTAGCTGGTACCATTCAGTGCTTAGTTTTTTCATTTTTCTGTTGATATCAAGGCGACAGTGGACCGTAGCCAAAACTTAGCCACTAAAGCTAACACACGGTTTGTAGCTGCCTGCTATTTCAAAGCTTGAAGATATTGAAGATCCAACGTCAGAAACGGGAAGACTGGGGTTAAAAAGGAGAGCTGTACGCGCTTTGTTCAGTGGAATAATTTGTTGGAGGAAAATAATGCGGGAGGAAATCCACTGCTACAGGAACAGGCTGAGAACAGAGGCAGCTAGTTGGCACAAGGTAAGTCATATGTGTGTTGATGCGTTTGTGTTATACGGAGTATGAAATTATTTTTTAGGCAACTCCTTAGTTTTTGTTTATATGACAATTATACATTTAACATGCAGTCGGAGAGCCCCTCCGATACCGAGCACGGTAATTTAAGAACAACCGAGGGCAGCAACGCTTCAGCCCGATCCAATTAGTTTTGATAATGTTGTGCAGCTAAATATGGACGTGTATTAGTTTTGTTTTTAATTGTTTCAGGTTTGCATCGCAACACCTCGTGATGTGTTTCTAAGCCATGATTGAGCCGCTGTGCCGATTAACTTTCCATTGGACCCAAGCACCTGGACCAGCTGACACGTGGACTAACTTTTTATTTACAGTACTTGGTTAAATTAGAACCAGATATGCAAAAATCTACCTGCAGACTTTATTATCTACCCTGACACTGCAGTCATCCTGGACTGAGCTGAGCTGGTCTTCTCTCCTCCAGTGACCAGTTTTCATCACCAGTAAAGACAAACAAGTCTGATGTCTGACCTAGGAAGTATATTATATATTCACTGTTCATTTTGCTATCCTGTTTTTACCTACAATAAAATTGAATCTCATTTGTAATACTTTACATTTCACAAACCTTTTTTCCCCTTTTCTGTGTTTACGTTATCTCAAGTATTTGCATGTAGATCAGGAATTCAAGTGAGATATTAAAATGCAATACTTTTAGGTAATACCAGCAAAGAAATGTGAATATTAATTAATATGTAGAATGTTGAATAAGGCTGGATGATATGACTTACAGGATTTTTTTTTCATACCAGATTTGATGTTAATCGATTCCTCCCGTCTTCAATTTCTA